AGAAGAAGCGGGTCACCAAAACTAAATTACTGGGTGTTAGATTAGATAATTTACTGTGTTGGTCTGACCAGATAGATCAGATCATGATGGGAAAGGGAACTGCTATTTGAAGCAAGTGTCATGCATATGTTCCACCTTCTGATGTCTGGTCGCTTGTTCTGTCACACCTGGGGTACCGCCCAATCATCTTGTCAAAGCGCTGCTGAGAAACATCTAAAAAAAAAAGCTTCAGATTGCTAATGTGTGCAAGATGCTAAAACAATTATCTCGGTTCACTGTGGAAGCTATTTTAAAATCTAGTCTTTTATTGTTTCATGGAAAGGGTTATCTGGAATAATAAACCACTCTTCTTTTCTGAGAAATTAATAGATCCCGGCTTTTTCCATGGGTTTATTTAACACCTCAAGCGAGTTCTCGTCATCTGGTGGCGCCGAGGCCACAAACAAATTGCACGATGAGAACTGTTTTGTATCGAGCTTGGTCACCTTTTTCTGCATGGTCCTGATTTATTCAATCAGTATTACTTTCACTTTGATTTGGCCCAAAGTATAATGATTTCTACATAGACAGTTTCAGACCTAAATGCACTTCGAGTATCATGTTTAAAAGTATAAATCACATCATAAACAGGAGGCGTTTTGTCCACAAGAAGAGTCTAATTACGTGTCGAATGCCCCTTTAATGGGGACACGCACAGAACATGATGATAAACATGTGTGTAAAAAAGAGAGCTGATATCTCTGGTTGGGATTTTTAGGTTTTTTGTTCAGCTGACTAACACACAGAAAGTCGAACTTGCTTTGTAGTACACCCCTCTGTTGAGCCCTGTTAATGTATTAAAATGTATAAAAAAGTATTCCACTATAAAACATACAGAATATTAAAGAGTAACTAAACCCAGTAAACGTGCGATTAGTACATTTCTTACTCGTCACAGAAAGAATAAAACAATATTAGTCAATAGGCAAAATTTGCCTCAGAAAGTGTGGCTCAGATGCATGCGTGTACAAAAACAATTGTACTGAGGAGGATAACTGGGGAGGAAAACAGTTATGTAATCTGCATTAAAGCAGATTAATAATAGTGACAGTTAAAATACATTCAATTTATTGTTTCTTTAATTGGAACAATTTCAATACTTTGGTTTATGACTGAATCTCTGCAAAACTAAAGATATAAGTCATTCCCATCAGCCTCAGCTGTGCTTTGAGTTAACATGATAAACTAAGATAGTGAACATGGTAACATCATACCTGCTAAACATGCTGACATTAGCTCAAAGCACCGCTGTACAGCCTTACAGAGCTGCTAACATGGCTGCAGACTCCTCGTCTTATTAGTTGAAATACCAAGAATGTATTTTATATATGAGGAAACACTGATTTTTACTTGTGTAGCCAAAAAATAAAGAGATTCCTTAACATGCTGGAGTATTCCTTTTCCGGTTGGTATGTTTCAACAACTTTTCTAAAGAGTGTGTTTGAAGTGTGGTCCCAGCGTCCACCATCACACACTGGCAGACATCAGTGTGAGACGGTTCAGGACTGTCCCACTGTGAAATCACAAAGTGCTGCAGGGCTCTCCCCAACTTTTTCAGCCCTTCATGCTAACTTTCTGAACTCCTGCAGCACTGCATGCTGTGCCTGTGGGATTTACCCACAATCCATAGTGTTCTGTTGAAAGCGACACAGGGGAAGTCTGAAAGTTTGCAGGTAGGCAGCAGAAATGTGTCTTTTTGATTTGATCTAATCTGATTTGAGCAAAACAATGCAAGTAATTATTAATAAATAAATGATGGATATATAAAGGAATATGTGTGAAACGCGAGCTGTGCTCTCCAGCTCAGGTAACGTGCCGTCTCATATCTCCGACAACATTTGAAGCTCTACATTAAAGTGTTTTGCTGAGGCTTAGAGGGTCCATACACACTGGTTTATAGAAACATCCTCAGACAGCTGATGTGAAGACATCCCCATTTCTGGCAGTATGAGACATTTTTGGACCGATATCAACATAAATCAAAAAGATAAAGAAATTCTGGCAAATACAATTTGAATGTAGGAAATGAAGTCTTCAATGCTTAAAAGGGACCCGCTCTTCATTTGAGTCCCCTCCACCACTGAAACTAAACAAATGCTTTTGCATTTCAAGAAATGTCCTCTATAATGCAAGAAAACAGTCTCTGGGTTGACACACAGTTTATGGAGGTTTGTTTTCCCAATCTAGGCTGTGATGTTGAGGTTGACAAGTAAGCTGACCCCACTTATTCATTATTGACCATGATTACTGACTTGGCTTTTCATCTACACGTGCTGAAAATGTGAGTTTGGCTGCTGAACGTTTAAAACAAACCCTGTGGAAAGAGGAGTGATGAACCCAACCCCTGAGGTCGACTTTCTAGGGTTGGGCATGGTGGAGGGGGCACCAATAAAAAATCCCCCCTAGGGCTCCAACATTGTCAGGGCCGGCCCTGCTCATAGACCACAAGTGAATTCAGTTCAGAGGTGAGTTTCTTGATGGACAGCTTAAATCTTTTCCCTCACACACACACACCAAAGGATAAATACAGATAATTTATTCACACTGAGGTCTCACTCTTCTGTCTGTCCAATCAGAGGCCTCCCTACAATAACAGATGCCACTCATAATTCTAGCAAGCTCATAAAGAAACTTTCAATAACCACTGACAAAGGGCGGGACGAAACTGGCCTTTGTCGTTCACTCACGTGACACATTCAGCACTATTGAAAACGTCAATCGATATTTGTGACAAGTCCTCCCTAGCGTTGTGTTGTTACAGGAAACACTTAAATATGCAGAAGCAAATAGCTTTCCATTTCATGGGAACTTAAAGATGGAAGTTTTACGTGTTAAAGAGGATGATGTCATCCACAGAGACATCATGGCGTGTCTCTGCTAAAAAACTAAAAACGAAAAGTTTTTTCCTCCAACTTTTCAGCCACAGAGAGAAGCTAACAATGTTCATTTCAGTCCATGATCTGATCACGACAAACAATCCAAGAGGGTGGGGGTGCTGAAGGTTGGCGGTGTAGGCTAACCTTTAGCCTCGGGGCTGTGCTTGTTGTCTGTTTCTGTTGTTGTAATGAGAGCAGCGGCGTCGAGGTGAGCCGCTCCGTTTCTGCAGGTTGGCAGAAAAACACACACATTAGTCTGGGTAATGGGTTCGGTGGGTCGCTCACATTTGCAGTGTTTGACCTCTGACCTCTGAGTGTGCTGAGCTGCAGGGACCATAAGACGAAGGGAGGGTTTTCAGAGATCTCAAATCCAGTTTCATTACCGTGGCAACCCAGAGGCCGCGACTGAGGAGGCGGGGCCTGGGGGACATTCAGCCTGGCCGCCGCATGTTCCTCTCGCCTCTGAATGGATAAATAATTAGCTGTGCTTCCTCTCATCGTCCTCCCACACAGGGTTAAAGCCGCCACTCTTCGTCTCGCTCAGCAGGAGAAGAAGAAAACAGGGCTGCAGCCTAAGATGCATTCGGGAAGGCTGCGAAATTACAGCTCTGCTGCTCTCTCCTCTCATCCTCCTCCCTCACAGCTGACCCTCATTGGAAATGGACAAGTTGGGATTCACAGAAACACAGCAGCTTCACAGGAGAGAGAGCAACCTCGAGAAGAGGAGGAATTTGGAGCGTTTCAGACGGGTGTGGGTGGAAAGTAACTGCTGCACCAAAACACCCGAATGGTTCCTTCTGAGATGTGATTGGGCGTCCGTCTCTCCCGCTGTCACTGGACAGACTCATGTGATGTTAAACTGCCGTTCAACATCTTCACCTCCACCACCTCTCCCTCTCTGCACTTCACAGTAATCTCGCTCGCCCACTGATGCAGAGTGACCACAGACGGAGGAGGAGGCAGGGAGCAAAGAGCAGGGAGCAGCGGGAATTAAACCATCAACATTTGCAAGGCTGGTCCAGATACACAAAACTAACACTGCTGAAAGTCTGCAGAAATATTCTACCTGCTGTTCTGATGCATTTTTTAAAGTCTTATTAATTATATAAAACTTTCACTCTGAGCTCTCATCATCGTTTTTCAGAGAAAAAGCTTCACAAAGCCACAGTACACTACGTTCTCCGCAGGCACACACAAACTCAGCACCAAGTACATGATCATGTTGCTCTGTAACCACCGGACGTCCTAATGAGCAGCTTTTTGCTAAGCTCAACATGTGAAATTGGTTCTGTTGCCCCTGAAAGGCCAAAAAGGGAGTTATCACGGGTTTCAGAAATAAGGTAGAATAAAGTGTGGGAGCAAAAAAAAGAATATAAACCTTAAGTTAGACAAGTGTTATAACGGACCCCTCAGTTTGGCATGCGGGCATTTATTGCAAACATCTTAGTGTGATAAACAGTTTTATTTTTTTAAGAAATAATGTAAAACATGATGCAGGTGAAAAGACAGAAAAGACAGATGCATGCTATGTTTAACTCTAAAGCGCAGTGACGGTTAGGGGAGAGCGACTAATTTAAAAGCCTTGGCTGTGAAACCCTGTAGTCTGTAGGGACATCGTTCAAATAGACAATAAGGTTGTGATGTTCATTGCAGCTTCAGTAATATTTGTAGTTTCCCTTTGACGCATCGCTCCGCTCGCTCACTGTTGCCGTTTGGTCTCTCTGCTCACAGCAGCCTTCAGTGTTTTTAGGCCGGAACGTGTAACCAATCAGGTAGTGCTGTGGGCGGGACTACATCAGAGCCAATTTTAAAAGTACTTTAAATCCTAACTTTTTCTTTTTGCTGATCTATGAAATGATCCGATCCGTGACTCAAAACCACGATATCATCCAAACTGTGAGTTTTGTGATCCGTTACACCACTAATGAAACACAAGGTGGGAAAATATTATTTTGTTTGTTGACGGTCAGAAGCTGGAAGTAGGAAAAGCCTCATTACCAACATTATAACTGTTCTGTTGGGATTTGGCGCAGGTACAAGGCTCAGGTGAGATCGATGCATTCAGAAACCCACCAAAGCATGATGCCTCTCTGTCAATATTTAATCAGGAAGAGCAGCTTTTGCAGCGAGTTAACATTTCATAAAACACATTAACATTGATTCAGCAGGCCTGGCAGATTAAAGTGGATAAACAGAGGGAGTCAATCATTTGGCACTGTAGGAGCAGGTAATGGGACAAAGTCCTCACAGCGAGGAAAGAAGGTGAATAAAGAAGATATGAGAGAAAGATTTATATCATTCTATCTAGTCCCTTAAATCTTTTACTTCTTAAAGGGAAAGCACAGTGAATAGGCTGCTTCTGATTTATTTTGTCTAAAAGGAACGGAGCGATCATTAATGTTATTATTGACACCTGCTCTTTTCTCACGTCGGATGTTTCGGCTCATCAGTGCACAGGGAAGGTCTATTCACAGAGACGCTCTCCTCCGCAGACAGCTGGGGCTGACACAAGAGCTGCAGGTGGGAAATAATTACAGAAATTACAGTTCTAATTAATAGCTGAAGGTAAGTCCAATAATAAGTCCAATTTCGGTTCTGAAGCGCTGGAGTTGGGAGTCGATACTGCAAAGTGAAAAAACTCAAACTGGCAGGCAGCATAAGAAGAAGAAGAAGAATCCGCTAATTAGTAAATACTACAGGAGGAAATATGCGGAAGATTTTTCAAATGAGGCAACCTTTAACCCGGCGTGGAGGACACTCTGAATCCTCCAGTTGTGATTGGTTACAGCTGATCTGATGTCCTGCAGGTACACTCAGCTCAGTCCAGCGGTGCAGGGTTATTTTTCTGTTTCCCGTATACATTCAGAATATTTCTGAAAGGTTCAAGCCGTAGTTCTGCGCCAGCATCGCTGTGAAAGGTGAAAGCTTCCTAGTAAGGATAAAGGAAGCTTCCTGGTTACGTCCGCACATACATCTGTGTATGTCTGTCTGCGTGTAGCACCTTATCACCAAAGCAAATTCCTTGTATGTGTAAACATTCTCACCTCCGACTCGTCACATATTTGACGCTTGGTCAAGGCCCTTCAGCGTCGCTTTTTAGACGTGTAGTCTCCGCGGTCAAGTTAGCAACAACAAATATGCAACGTCCGGGTAGACTTTCAAAGTAAAACTCTAGCGTTTCCAAACATCGCCATTTCGAAACAGCACGTTATTGTTATATCCAGTGGTCGCTCTCCTCTGTTTTCCTTTTGTTCTCTGCTGTTTCCCACCCTTTTATGTCTGTCTGTCTGTTTTCCCTTATGAGTCTGCTTTAATTGTAGGTGGGCGTGGCTCTCGTGCTGGGCTCCTGCACGCTGTCTCTACACACCTGCACCTCGTTCCCAATCAACCGTCTGTTATCTAGCCGGTCCAGCACACCAGTATTTGCCAGATTGTCTGTGTATCTGTAAGAATCAGTGGTACAAACCTTGGCCTGCTACTCGTAGTAAGCCTGTTTTTGTGACTTTCCCTCGCTTCTACTAATCCTTGTGAATTCTCCCTCGTTCTCACAGACCGCCCGGATCTGCCTGCTTCACCCTCACCGCTTCAGTCCAACCATCCCTCCCTCGCCCCCCTTTGAACTGTTTATTCCTCTATAAACTCCCTTTGAATTGTGAACAGTGAACCGGCTCTGTCATGCTTTTGGGTCCAGCTTTTACGTACACCCGTAACAGTTATTAAAGATGGGAAATGTTGCAGTTTGGTCAAAACTACTCGGTTAAGGTCAGGAAAAGATCATGTTTTATTGTTTGTTTAAATAAAAATATTTAATGTTGAACCCTGGTCTCCTGGTTCAAAGTCTGGGTTCCAGCCCTCCATCTACCGCCTTACTCAGTCTTTTCTGTTAAATATCTTATACATGCCTTTACCGTCAAAAGCTGACGCTACAGGGCCTCCCCCACTTCGTTGAACAATATATGAGAGATTTCTGGCACGTCACCTTCTTCCACGGTGCACGGAGAAGGAAAAAGTCTTGACAGGTCAGAACTCCACCAACACTTGCAGTAAAAAGAAAAACTTTACTGTCCAACCAACGTCATCATCCTACAACTACTTTGAATAGTATAACAATTCTCTCTGCTATGGAGTTTATTTAAAAGCTCCCTTGATACACGCTCATCACCAGTGCACAGGTGTAAAAGCTAAAAGGTGTAAAGGAATAAAGGTGCTGAGATTCTTCCTGCTGTTTAACTGAAACTACAGCTGCCACCTCCTCTATCACGCACCAACACCTCTCCCCTCTGATGTTGGAAAAAAATGTGATGACAGTCTTTGTGATTAAAAATAAAATTTACTGCCGGAGATCCTCACACATTAGCCCGAGACTTGTCAGGGTCTGCGTGTGTGACGCGTGGTGTTAATTGGCAGCATAACGATCATGAAGAATTCATGCTGCAATAACAGTGGATTTCTCTTTGTTTAATTAAAGATGGTGCGTCGCCGCGGCTGCATGCATATTTAACGAGCAACATCGCTAACAGATTACTGAGCCTCCCAACATGTGACGGCACGCAAGCTAGCAGCTGCTTTTAACAACACACACACACGCATACGTTCTGTACACTGGACCAGGTGCCGTCCTGAACGCCATTAAGCTGTTTTCATGCAGTTGATATTTATTGACTCTCACAGTAGCTGCCTTTACAGAAGTGATAACCAAAGTCAGAGCTCATTCAGGATAAGAATGTGAACATATCCATCACAATAATAGGGCTCTTTCTGAGAGAAAAGTCCACTTGAAAGGGCAGATTTAACCTTTTTAGAATCAATTTAAAGGGTAAAAGGTGTTTTCTAAACACTGTTTCAGTTGCTGTATATTTCCTGTACTCTTTCTAAGCGTGCTTTCTAACTTGAATTCAGACTTCAATAAGATTCGTGACTTCAAGTTACTCAGAAATTGCAATAAGTTACTAGTTACTTATTACTCCTTTATAAAGTAATTACTTTACTTATTACTGGGTGATAAAGTAATTAGTTAAGTTACTCGTTATGTTACTATATTACCTTCACTACCACCCCCCCTCCCCAAAACAAAGCAGTCTCTCCCGACTTTCTAACTAATATCATATTCATAAAAGCAGCAAGGAGTATAGTTTTTACAAGACATAACGTTTCTTTACGACCACCGGATAAAAAAATAAAAATAAAGCAAATAAATTGCAACTTTTGAACTATTGTTTTTCTGCACATGTATTTATAGGAGCAACATTCAGTATTTTTATAAAACGTTACATTGCTTAACTCCCGACGAGTCCCAGCATCATGGACAGGAGCTGCCGGAGTTTCTTTCTATAAGTTTCACGTTGCAGTGCTGCTTTAGCTGATGCTTCAATAAATTAAATGTAGAATTAATCGCGGTTGAAAGCTTTTTGCTGCACAATGTTCTTTGCATCTTAGACTGTGACACAATAATGGCGACAGCTGTGGAAAGAAAATCTCTCCCTCATTCTCCATTCTTCCTTTAGCTTTTCGGCTAACAGCTGACTTCAATAACATAAGATCCAGTGAATTCACGTCAAGGATGGTGCACTCAGTAACGCAGCGTTACTTGGATTAGTAACTAATAATATTACTGTTTTGGAAAAGTAATCTGTTACACAACTATTTACTGGGAAAATAGTTATGTTAATAGTTAGTTAATAGGAAAATGGTTACTGTCCAACACTGCTCTTGACTGGTGTCCGTCAGTGGTGCATCTATATAAAGGTGGGCACACATTGTAGATCGTTGAGCCTGCTGATCTGTACAGTGATTCAAACAAAGTAAATAAATAAGAAATGTGACAGTGTTAATACAAACATGAATTGAATAACAAAGTCAGCACATTAATGTAGACATAAAAGAAAATTTAAACAGAATCTAAAGTAATTAAGTGAAGTCAAACTCCATAAAATAACAATTATATTAAACCACTGAACAAAGTTCTTCATTATCTCTCTCACACAAAGAGAGACTGAAAGCAGTCTGAAATCTTTCCAAATTCTCCGTATTACAACACATCTCCCACACGCGCACACTAAACGATCAATACAAATGATTGATGGACATGAGGTCAGAGATTAACCCTTCCTCTTCTGGCTGTCCAATCAGAGGCCTCCCTACAATAAAAGACGCCACTCACACACGCTCTAAAAGAAACTTTCAATAACCAATGACAAAGGGTGGGATGAACGTCTTTTCTTATTCTAACTTGTGTTTAATGTTACATCACTGCCGTACGTACACACACACACACACACACACACACTAGGGTTATGTACTGTTATATAAATGGATGGTGAGAGAAGAAGAAGCAGTAGTGGAGGGACTGAGGGATTATTATTGTGCTCCTCACATCACTGTTAGTAATTAAAGTCAATCACCACTTGAACAGGTTTGAACAGACAAGAGGAGACGCATGGTGCTTCACACAGTACTGCTGTTATTATGTTGGTGTGTGATTGATTGAGTCAATAACAGAAACCTGGCGTAGCGCTCATACAAACACACAGACAAAAGCGAGTCCCCACAATGTGACTGTGTAGACAGATTTATGTCCCCACATTCGTAAAACCCACCCACACACATACACATCATCATCATCCTCATCTGTGCTCATTCGAGGCGAGTATGGCTGACCTTCCCTTTGGGTCATTTACTTGTGGGCCATAGAGGTTAATCTGAGATCCACATACTTTGGTGACATGCAGATGACATGGCCTGTCCATCGGAGGTGGTGCTGCATTTGTCGGCTTCCTCCCGAACGCTGATGTTGGTGCGTCTGGTCTCCCAGCTGATCCCTTAAAATCTTTCGTAAGGATCTTTTTGTGGTGGTGTTCCAGGGCTCTCAGGTCCCTGCTGTAGGTGGTTTATGGTTTTGTTTGGGACTTTAGGTCTCGTTCTTTAAAGACTCGTTCCCTGTCCAAGTCTGGTGTAGGTTCCACCAATCCGTTCTCATTGTCTCATGGTCAAGACCCATCAGCGTCAGTTTGTAACGCACTGGGGATCCTTATAGCGTTGTAGTTCAACGCAGTGGGGGAAGCCCTGTAGCATCAGTTTTTCGACAGTAAAGGTAGGTATGTGATATTTAACAGAAAAGATGTCGGGTGGTGGTTGGGGTGGATGGAGGACCAGGACCCGGACTTTGAACCGGAAGGCCGGCGTTCGTGTCCCGTGTGAAACAAAAAGTCAGCATTAACTATTTTTATTTAAGTTAGGCAAGTTCCATAAAATGCGTAAGTTGCGTTCACTTGCGTGTTAACTGACCTACATAGTTATTTTAACCCAAACAACGATCTTTTCCTAACCTTAACCAAGTAGTTTTGTTGCCTAAACCGAACCAAACTGCAACATTTCCCAACTTTAATAACGTGCCGTTTCAAAATGGCGATGTTTCAAAAGTCTAACTGGACATTGCATATGAGCCTTAAATGTCTAAATACGCTAAATGGGAACTCGGGGCGTTAAAAGCGCCTTGGGGCCTTGACCAAGCGTCAATATGTGACAGTCTGAAGTGACATCAGCTTTTGAGGAGAGAAGGCTGCCGCAGTAGGGGTTGTTTTTAAGAGAGGTACTTCCGACTTTTATGGTGGTCTGTGTAGATGGCTAGTTGGGTGGCAGATGATGTAGGTACTTCTTATTTTAAGGTGTGTCTGTGAAGATGGCTAGGTGGGTGGCAGATGATGCACCCCTGTTTGACCCCCATTCCACAGTGAAGGTTTAGGACTCTGCAGTTCTGGCACTGTACAACACATCTGTCCCACAACTCACTAACGTTACAGTCTCTCTCTCCCCACTGTGTCCGCATGGACAAGTAGCATACACGTAACTCAGAACAGAGCTCGCGGTCCGGTGAATTTCAGGTGGAAGAAAGGGAATTTGTGAGCAGATGATAGCGAGGTAGAGGACGAAGAGAGCCGCATGTTTATAATGGCTGTTCGTTCAGCATGGTTCTGTCTACAGTAGAACTGTGACAACTGCTGCTCTAGAGTCTCTAGACTGAGTGTCCAGACTTAGGTCACATTTAATTTGGACCACACATGGAAGTGGCCCAAATCCGAACTGGAAAAGATCAGATTCCAGACTCGGTCTGTTCACATTGTCATAAAAAGATCTGATCTGAGTCACATATAAAATAAAAGTTGGATTCGGGTCACTTTGGCCTACAGTCTGAACATAGCCTTAGTAGTGCTGAAAAGCCTCTGGGGTCTGGATTGAGCCACTCGTTACATCATGTTGCCAGTCACGAATTATTTTCATTCCTAGTTTTCTCTAGGAGCCGAGATCACATACAGACATCACACTTTCACTGAAACTTTCAAACCCTGGATGATACGAGTGTACGTGTTTACATCTAGGAGAATTTCCCTGACCTGTTCGGTATCTTTGGAAACTTAGAAACAGGACATTGCCCTGAATCCTAAAACACAATTCATGATGTTTGGATGGAATCTGTGTGAGCGATGGAGCCACCGGTGCATCCAGGGAGAGAACAGAGTGTAAACGCTTAAGGCAAGAAAACTGACCTGAACCAGCCAGAGTCTCCGATGGACACATAACCTGCAACTCATAACTGATGATTCAGGACTGAACTCAGTGACACAAGTTCTTCTACAGGCTGAAAACCTCAGATGAAGCTTAACCTGAATGTCCCAGCATCACCTTCTGCTGTTCACACAAAATCGGATTTTGTGGTTTTTCACATGTGGAGCAGATGGAG